ACAAAGCTTTCCCTTTCCTTTCAGTAACTGTAACTTTAAGTACTTCATCCTTAATTACTGAAGAATGAAAGTGAAAAATACAGTCAACATGGATAATATAGTTGTGTTCTCCAACCTTGACAGCGGTTTTATTAGACATGACAGCTTTATGTTTCTTAAGCAAAAAAAGGCTTTAATTGAGGAAGTATTTCATATTTATTTTTGAAATGTTTCTTCACAGGCAGCTTTGTTAACTCTGTTATCGTTAAATTCAGCCTCAATGGAAAGAAATGTCCCATAATTATATGAAAACACATGGAAGCGGAGCAAGTTACTAACAGTGACACCTTATTTAAAACGCTGCTTAGAGCAGAGAAGATTAAAGGGAATCAAAGCATTTCATCTCTCTTCAGGCCTCTCAGTTGTATCCTATGAAGTTTTATTTTTTTTTTACTGAATAAGAGGTTAAAACCTTACTGGTTTATCTTTGTTTTTATATGTATGCATTTGGTAAATAAATAACTACTTAATACTCTTGCCCAAACAACATATTATTGGGTATACTGTGCTGTTTTTTTCCCCTTAGTTTGTAAATTTTTTTGTAGTCTTGCCATTCAGATTACCTTTGAATATTCCTTAGAGTATCTCTATAAACAGACATACTTCATAATAGTCTATGTTAATTATAAACTCAAACTTTGGTATTTATATTTAGTAGAAACACTCAGTTGTAATGTCATGCAGGGTTAGGTGCTTTGCAGTTCTGAGCATCCAAGTGAAATAATAAGTGTTTCAAGCAGACACTCCACACTGGCTCTGACTTATTGATCTGTACAAAACTGGAAATGTTGCTGTTGTCAGAGGTTAAGAAATGTAGACACAAAAATAAAGGAAGGCAGTCAAAAAAAGACAAACCCCAAACAAGCTGATGTATGATGCTGGTTTGTATATGGAACTGAGAAAGATGAACTATCAGACAGAGGTGGGAGGTGAGTAATGTGGTGGTTATCAGCACTAATTTAAAATAAAATGTCAGCTGGTTTGACAACGGAGAGAATCAGAAGGACGCTTTGGTATTCCTAAGCAAGCTCTCATGAACAAGCATACACACAGGTTGTGATTGTCTTTTTCTTTGTATCTGTCTGCCTTATCACTCTCAGACACCTGTCACCTTTTTAATTTGTCCCATTCTAAGCTACTGCTGACTTATTTCTTCATTCCTGAGAACCTGACCAGATGCTACTTTACCCACACAGGTTTTCTTAATTCAATATAATTAAATTTGTTGTTTTCTGCTTTTCAAGTGGAATATTAAGAAAAACTGACATAATACTAAACAACGACTTTGTTAAGACCAACATTCCCCTGCATTAAGACGACTGGTTAAAATATAATTGTAACAAAATTTACCAATGAAAATAACTGTTGGTGAGTTCCCTAAGGTATAAGCACTAGTATATTGAATAAACTTGATTAAAGAGCAAAGAATAGGAGTGAGTGAAAAGCTATATTTATAAATCTTTATTAAACTGATACAGCATGGTATTGTACGCTGAACTGCAAAGGTTGATTAATGCTCTTTGGGATCAGACTTAACAAGCATGGATATAATCAAACTCCTCTGGTAGGGCCCATGAAACAGATGAAAATTTGTAGTTACCATAGAATAGCTACTTCATAGTGTCATTTAAAGGGACGACTTAAAGGTATAGTGGAGGATTTTTTTTTAATATTTTGAAAACACTGAAAAAAATAAATTCACATGCACAACCTTGTACTGGCTCTTGAGAGGGAATGTCTATGAAACTTGTGCGAGACCATGCACAAGCCCATTTCTCCTCATGCGCACTCTGTTTAAAAGTTGCTGTTTGCATCGCTCATACAAGCATACTTTTCAAAAGAAGATTTGCAATTTTTCAACTATGTCAGACTCACCACGGGTAAGTGAAAATGGGGATCAGCACGTAGGACGGCCTAATGTAAACATATCAGCAGGATAATTGACAATTAGGAGGACGACTTCTTTTGATGATCCATCCAGAAAAATAACATCCTCCACTATACCTTTAAGCTCAATGTTAGGAGCTTGCTGAACATGCAAATACCTACATGTGGACATAGGATATTGTATAATTAAGTTGAAAAATTCGATGTTAAATCTGAAATTGCTTTGGATTTAAAAATCTAATATTGCTTTTTGGGTTGAGCATATGACATCCAGGAAATCTTGTGAGGTAGATATAAACCCACCTCTATTAAACCCCAACTATCAGCTAACATCTCTTACAAAAGTTTTTAATTAGGCTTTATAGCACCCCCATTTGAAACAGTGGTACCTTACACATAAAGCTCCAAACTGCAATAGGAGTTACTCATTTCTTAAAAATAAAGCTAAAAAATAATTGAGAAGAAATTATTTTGAAATTAGCATTTATATAGTTTTGAATTCAGAGATGTTGATAATGAAACAAGGTTTGAAAGGCCTCCCTATGACATGCAAAACCTCGACAACTATTACTTTATGAATTAATAATCAATGTGTGATTAATATTATCTTTTATATTAGATGATCTTTGAAATAAATTACAAAACAATATATTTTATTCCAGTCCCGCTTTCGATGAGTACTCCCCTGTAAACCTATTAAAAGTTTATTTTCTCTCTCCCTCTTTCTTTCTTCACATTAAAACCTCTCAAAAACAAAAGTAAAGGAGCACCTTCAAAACAGACAAGATATGAATTTTAATAAAGCCACAAATTACGTTCATATTGCTATGGCATTTGGGGACGGAAATGTCTTACATCACTTGATGGTTCCCACGTGCTGGTATGCATGCCATCAGGGCATGTTCCTAATGAGATGACAAATAGTGTCTTTGAGGGTGACCTCTTGGTTCCCAACCAATGTATCAATGAGCTTTTTGACACTCTGGGGTGCAACCGGATTGGGTCGGATGAACCCTATGTGGATTTACAGT